GAGCCGAGCCGAGCCGAGCCAAAATGCTGCTGCGAGATAGAAACGTTCACACAATTCACCTGGGGAACATGATAGGAAGCTAGAGGGTTTTTTTTTTTGTCTGTTTCTGTTTCTGTGGTTGCTGGAGTGAAAATGAAATCCTCCTACGAAATGACAGGAGGGAAGACGTATCACCCACAGCCAGGATTCATCACCTTGTCGTCCCTTTTCCTGCACAGACTGACTCCAGATCTGTTCTCAGGCTCGAGATAAAGTTGCAGAGTGTAAGAGACGAGGGGGTAGTGAAATATTTCTTCTTTTCTTTTTTCCTCCAAGTTGTAATTCTTTTAATGTTTTGGCCCGCAGCCCGGCCCTCTATTTAGCTGCTCTCTGAGAAGGACCTGGATCCGGACAGACCTAAACCCCCTCCTCCTCCTCCTCCTCCTCCCTCCTTCCTCTTTATTATGCAACCATAAAGCAAACATCTCCCATGAACACAAACACTCAAGGCCCCCGATAAGGACTCACAGTTTCACGCATGTATGGATCCTAGCTGTGGACGTACGGTTGATACTCGGGGCTATTAGTAACGACTCCAGTCGCCCCCGTTGTATAATCATCAACCCGACCGCTCCCTGTTGTGTTCGTCCCGGTTGCTAGGAGACCATTGACTTGTGTTTATGGCCGTCTCGAGGGAGAACACTGGTGCTGTTGGCCGAAGGAACGCCTGCTATCTGAAACATCCCCAGAAAGTCTCCTGTAATGTTTATCAGACACAATGGACTCTTCAGCAAGGCTGCCCTCTGCAGACCTGCTCTTTCTTTCAGCGAGTAACTCGGCGTTACGTGTTGTTGACTGACAAGAGTTTGAACTTTGAGTCGCAGGCATCAGTTTGTGTCCTGTTATCAGTAAAAGCCAGCGGCCGCAGATTAAGTTAAGTAAGATTAAATGGGCAGATTGTGACACAGATGTGTTTCTGTGACCCTCTGATGCTCAACAGGGAGAAACAAAACCAAGGAGGGGAAGGATAATGGAGTTAACTGTTGAACGGGGACACTGGAATACAAACTGGGGCTTTCTTTAGGGACTACTTTAAAATCTGGAGTCCACCTGAAAATATAATGTTTGCTTTTGAAATCCCACACAAGTCACAATCTGTACAGTAAAATATAAAGAAACAGAACGACAATATTATGTAGATAGACTGCAAACGTATATAATAAGTCTGCTTTAGATTGTATTTATTCTTTGTTGGTGTCTGTTGGTCGAGTCTAAAATATTTCAGCAACTACTGATTGGGATTAAATATTGTACAGACTTTAATGGTCCCCAGAAGATGAACTCTAATGACGTAGTGTCACATTTTTGAGGTTCACGTTTTTGACTGAAATATCTTAACCAATGTTGGATGGATTGCCATGAAATGTTGGTTCACACGTCCATGAATTTGTAATAACTTTAGTGATCCTCTGACTTTTCTTCTCGCGCTATCATCGGCTCAAAGTTGATTATTTGTCCAATATTTCCGTTAATGACCAAACCAAGCTGTAGTTTATGTTTAGTAATAATTTGCATAAACTAAAGATCACAAAACATACCAACTAAACATCGGCACGTTGTTGTTATCATTGTAAGCAGGTTAAAGCATTTATCTGAAGGTACCACTGTGTCCAAGTACACTCTCACAGAGCCTGACGGTCGACTCTTAGTCTGTGAAAGGAGTCATTTATATGACGTACCTACTGACAATTATCACCTGAATCTGCAGCTCCTCGCGGCTTTATAGTGAGTTTTACAACAACAGCAAACAGTAGACACACAGGAGTTGGTGGAGACTAAAAACAGAGGTGAAAGAATAAATATTGAACTTAAAGTCATCAGATGGACACGAACACGACTAATGTCTCTGTAACTGCTGCATGTGTGAATAAGCAACTGATTTGTCAATGTTGTGTTCACAATTTGTCTCCAAACAAACAATCTGTTGATGCAGGTTTAACTTAACATTATCATTATTTATTTATAATCCATCCACTGCGCTCTCCTCTGACATTCAAATGCTAGTTATATCACAAAATATCTAAACATTGGTAAAAACACTTTAAATAAGTTCTCTAACTGCAAAATCGACCCCAAAACGAAATGATCCCTTTTTTAATTATGTTCATTAATTTAGATTTTGATGTAAATACATAGAAACTCTGTTTGTTTGGTTAAAGCTAACCCCTCCCGTCCCCAGCTGTCACATTCTTCAGGTCAGCCGGTGAAAGTTTTCTTGGCTCGTTGCTCCGGCCTCCCGCTGCGATCACCGCGGGGTTTCATTTAGAGTCGAGATGCCGGAGCCGGTAGGTGATCTCTGTTTTATTAAAGCGCCGGCTCATCCCCTGATGATCCACAAACTACAGCCTGGAGCCCGACAGGTCACAGGCCTGCTTTGTTAGGGAAGAAAAACACGCTTTGAAAGTGCTTTTGGGTGTAAGATAAACTAATTATTAATAGCAGTAATGGTATCATGGGTTTCCCTTGAGTGAGCCTAAATTTCTCCCGAGTCCATATTAAGTTTATGAATCTGGTTTAGATTATTTATCTTCTCCATGGTTGCTCTCTGAGTACACACAGCGATAACAATGAAAACACACCTTTAATTCTTCTTTTTAAAGAGGTTTGGTGCTCTGAGGAAGGTTTGATTTGCCCCTGAAGCGCTATCAGGTGTGTCTTGGCCATAATAACCATGAAAGGATGTTAAATTGTGAAATCTTCCTCACAAACGGTCCCTTCTCCTGGTCCGAGCACGGCGAGCCCTCCTCGCTGTGTGTTGGTGTGGAGAACGAGGTGAACAGAGATCCCGCGTTAAGTGGATCTGCAGTGATCTTGTGTTGATCTTTTAAAAGTAAATTACAACTGTTACTGACTCTCTCCGCCCTGCTGCTGCTGTACGTGACTCTATATATGGTTCAGATCTTTGATGCAGATCGGAGTTTATCCTCAGTTGTTGACTCTTTTTTTAACATAATAGAGCACTCGTCTCCTTCAGGCAGTAGCAGTGTCTCTGCTGACGTTATTAATTCATCAATAAGCCCACTGGCATTTATAACCCAGTATAACTTCCATCACTGTACCAATTCAGCTTGTTTGCGCCTTTTCACACGACAAGATATCTGCCAAAAATCTCAGCCATGTTTGATAACAGTTGGGACGTCCAAAATGAGGTCAGAAACGAGGTAGGCCAATTAAATAGGGGGGGTGGCTGCCCATCCTCTCAGGGTAAGGGGTTTATAAAGCTACTTAAGGACTCAAAACTCACCTGTGACTGACAGATCAGCTGTACTGTTGTCTAAAGGATCCGTCCAATCTTAGCTACCTTTGGTTATCTCAGTGCAAGTACTGTATACCAACATTAATCAATAATACTTATATTTTATAGGTATTTGGAGGTGGTGTTGGATTGTTTGATTGGATTGTAGGTAAAAGAAAGCAGTCCAACTTTGCTCTGCACACAGTTAACCAAACAATTAGCTGAACTAAGACTTCCAAGTTGCTTTTCATTTGGGTTTTAATCTTTTATTTGCTGGTTCATGAACTCATCTAAACTAAACTCGGCAAAACTATGAAAATTCCCAGCAAACACTGATTTGATTTCAGGTTTCTAATCTATTTGATTGAAAACTGAATGTTTTGTAGACATCTAGAGTTCATAACAGTTGTTTTCAACACAATTTAAGTGAGTGTATTGTAATATATACTAACTTGTGGTTGGTGGTTAGGAATGGGAATCAAGAACTAGTTGAGAACCAGTTCTTGTTCTAGTTCCACACAGGCAGGCTTATAGCTGAGACAACCTGAATGAAAACAAATGCTGTGCAAAATTTGTCTCATTTCATCCATTTCAGATGATGAAAGACTAGTTAGTTCTCATGCTACATGCTTCTACCGCTCTACTGTTTCAACACTTTGGTTAGATTAGATTATAAAACCCTGTGTAGGTCACAGCAATCAATAAGTGAATCCATAAAGAATCTGATCGATGGCAGTGAGTATCAATAAAACCGTAACAGTTCTCCTCCCTTATGGTGGCGTAAGAGGATCAGCAAAGTTTGTATAATTCAACCTTAGAATAAGACTTCAGTATTTAGGATACATCATCTGGGGACCATGAATGTCGGATTTTGTCCCAACTACAATGTCAAAGTTGATGTTTTAGTGAAGCTACACGGAAAGAGTCAGGATCATCAAAGTCTGTATGACTGTCAACCTTCTGGGGGCACCACGCAAGTGCACAGCAATCTGATAACATTAGGTCTGTTGGGTACTATTGTCAGTCCAAAGTGGTGTCGACGAACAGATCCACATAAAGAATAGAACAGTTGGTTTTTACTGACGCTAAACTGCTTTGTCTCTCTCTGGTCTCCAGGGAGTCGGGTGTGTTCGTTCTCCCCGTGCTCGAGCAGTCCAGAGGACGTGCGAGGCTCTGGCGACCAGGGCTTCGAG